ACTCAGTGCAGTTGCACTGAGGTCCTACCTGTTGACCTTGCCACTTGTCTTCGTCTGAAAACGTGGGCCTACCTTAGACTCACCACTTGACCACTTGCCGACCTTCTAGAAGGACTAAAGCTAGGCCTCTGGACTCTACTTGGACTCCTACCTTACAGGTCTACAGTTCGAATCTCCCTACAGCCTACAACCTACGGCGACCTACTTACCACTGGCTATCGTCCAGGTCACGGGTTCAACTCCAGGGAACTGTGCAGATACTGTACACAGGTAATCTGAGGTCAAGGGATCGACCCCTGGGMTCTGCATCGGCTACTGCCAAAGGTGAAAACTGTTTCAATATGCCAACATCGTCATCTCCGTGTGGAAACTGTGCCTCCTTTTCTGCAGGTTTCAGAACTCGCCAAACATACAACAGAAGGTTGTCCGGACAGGGATATACAGCAAAACAGGTCATGAGTTCGAGCCCGGGCCGGGACACAGAAGATTGACCGGGCCCGGGCAGGGGCACAACTGGTGTGCAATTCTCTGAGGCCTATGGCCCGAAGCATCCGCTACTGCTGGCTCCCCTCCAAACCTTTTAAACTTTAATCATGGATGGAGGGATGTATAGGTCATTGCCCTTTCGCGAAAGACGACAAAGTATGGGAAGAAAGGGAAAAAGGGAAAAAGGGAAAAAAAGTTATAAAAAAAATTGAAACAAGTACAAAAAAAAAGATGCAAGGAACCTGCACGTCAGCACTGCAGCATCAATGGTCCAAAGAGGGGGTCCGTTACTTGGCCGATTTGGTCCCAGGCAGGGTTCCCGTAATTTACGGTCTGAGAGGAACATAGGCCCCGTCCGGTCCAGTCCATTTAGCCTCAGATAGTTAGGCCCAGGTAGGTGACAGGTTCGAGTCCAGTCGAGGTCAGTCTCGCCTCATCGTCGGCCAGCGCCCCAGGACTGTCCGGGAACGAACCTTCCAGACCAGAAACGTCAAAGGCTGGCAAACCCCGAGGCGCCAGGCTACCGGATCTACTGGGTCCCTTACTCCAACAAGGGGGATGGGGAGCTAAATCGTCACGTACAAAAGCACAGCGGCGACAACATTCGCCGTCAATTACATTCAGTCACAGGGCACAATAGCCATAGCTGCATCGTACTAGAAGAGGGGAAGCAGTAATGAGTCACTGCAACTTGAACTCAATGTGTGAGGCTTTACTTCTCACAGAGTGAACGCACTGAGAAAATGGCATGCGACAAACTGTCGCACTTGGTGTGAAAAAGATTATTGCACTGAAGTGAGACAATCGACGAGCGAAACGGAACCAGTAAGGCTGAGAGCAGCGTTAGTCCTCAGCCACTGGGCATCATAGCCATAGATGCATAGTAGTAGAAGAGGGAAGACATCCACAGAGAGAGAGAGAGAGAGAGAGGCCTAAGTGTGGAAGATAGCCAATGTTCATCTTCTTCTGGAGGCATAGCTGCACAGCTAGTTGACGACAAACAGGTGTGGACTAAGAGGCGCTTGGAGATAGAACTTAACCCATGCCCATGGCAGAAGTGGGCTCAGGGAAGAAGTTTGCACTCAGGGATATAACTTGAGTCTCCATATCTCTTGGTCTGGTTCCATCTCTTTTTTTTCGAGCTTGGTTTGGTACGTACGCACTGTACGCACCTCGGACTACCTTTTGTGATGTTGGTTGTGATGTGTAGCACTCAGGCTCATTGCAAATAGGAAGAACAAGAATTTTTTACTGTTCTTCTTTTCAATAGTGAAGTTGTGCAGGACTACCAGACAAAACAATGAGCCCAGACATCTGGGTCCTGACACATCCAGCCGCATATCCGGGTCCCGAATACCTGGTAGCCTAGCAATTAATTCAATTTCATACAGTTTCACCGCAATGAATATAGACGTGTTCAACTCCAGATGCAGAGTCCAAATTCCCACCTGCTCTGAGCTTGGTTAATCAAAGTGGAAGGAGTCCCACTTGCCACGTCACCTACCCAAGCCACCAGTCCCACTTGCCACATCACCAGCCAAGTCAGCCAGTTCCACTTCCCACACCACCAACCAAGTCCACGGGCTTCCTTAATGATACATATCAGGTTCAGGCTGGTTGTACAGTCATGGCTCTGGCCTACTCTAGGAGTATCACACTGTTAGTCAAGTTCGTCTTCTAGTTTCTGGCATGTTCTTTGTTCTAACAGCCTGCTGGGCCGAAAGAAAGTTTTCCCAGTGCTCCGTCGAGGCCCCAAGTCCTTTTGTGTGGCTGAATGGCAAGTGCATCGCCTTCTGCTGGCATGTGACCTTTCTTCGTCTCATGGCATGTGTCCATTCGGCGCAGTTTTTTTTTACCGGGGGCCCTGGTTGCTGGTGTGCTCGACCGGCAGACACGCCACGTCCTGGTCGTTTCTTTCCCTTGACATCTGGCCTTGTGCGATGTGCCCATTTGGTGTTTGTTTGTTTATCATGCCAGAAACATATCTTGCCCATGAACGGAAGGACAACAGGCGGATGGACGATAGGTGCATGAACGAACACTCAGACGGATGGACAGACCGACAAACGGACTGACTCGCTGATGGGGGGCCTCCAGTGGGTGAGAGATATGCAACCACCCCTGTTGCAAAATGCCATGGAGTTTGTGCTGTGGAAGTGCAGTGAGGGGGCAACATGGGGGTATGACGAGCAATTGCACCTCTGGGAACGCCCACAAGTTTCCAGTGGGAGCCGCCTGAGGAGGCTTGTAGGGAGGGGGGAAAGGAGGATAGCTTGTGGGACAATTTTGACACATTCATCTAACAGACTACATCAGATTGGTGGTGCTGTCATGTGGGCCAGCAGGGGGGGGGGCGGGGAGGGGGGCGGGGAGGGGGGCGGGGGGGGGGCATATGAAACTGCAGGAAATGACAGCCATGTGGAACGCTTCCACCCCGTGTGAGTGAAACTGATCCTCTATCTCGTGCATGAAAAACGGAGGAACAAGCAGTCATTGAGACTATTGCAAAGTTTGTGTAGATCCATTGAAAAATGTGCAGCTCCTGCATGCGAAGAAGGCAAAGAAGGGCAGTTTTCTGCATTGTAGGCCAGCTTCTTTGATTAAGCCAAGGCTTCTCCTCCTCCCTGGGATCCAGCAATCTGTCTTGCAACAAGGTGGGGTCGGCAGGTTCATTTGAGGAAGGCACCTCAACAAAGCAGGGGGTTCGATGACTCCAGCAGAGCAGACAGCAATGATGATGGGGGAGTGTCTGATTTGGAGGGGGAAGGGGCAGCGGAGGTAGCCAGCAGCAGCGTTCAGAAGATCTGATAGGAAAGGTGCCAATGGTTGAGGAGGAAGAGGAGGAAGAAGAGGAAGAAGAGGAAAAGAAGGAAGAAGAGGAAAAGGAGGAAGAAGAGGAAAAGGAGGAAAAAGAGGAAAAGGAGGGAGAGGAGAACAAGGAGAAGAGGAGGACAAGGAGGAAGAGCAGCACAAGAGGGAGTTCGTCCTCTGTGCTTGCATGAAGTCAGTCAAGATCAGGAGGAGAATGATAAGATCGACGACAACCTCACGTCGATCGCGCAGACTCGTCACTTGGATAGCAACCTGGACTTCTTGTTGGCTCGACGGGGCACTTAGCACCGAGACACAGACCTTGATGATGGTGCAGGGGAGTCAGAGCCTCCGTGGCAATAGAGCGTTCCATGCAGTGTGCAATTTGGGGTCCACATTCTGTGCTGTTGCACTCAGAAGAGACGGTGATTTCTTTCCACCCCCCTGGTCCCCCCCCCCCCCCCCCCCCCCCCCCCCCCCCCCCCCCCCCCCCCCCCCCCGGCCCTTTCTTCTTCTTTGTCTGACTTAACAAAATGGTGCAGTGTCAGTTTGGTGGTTTACCGACTGCGGTATGATAAACCGTTGAACACTATGTTGGCTGAGTCCAGAGTTACTGTTCTGACAGTGACAGACTGCCACAGCAGCCTGTTCCAATCTTTTCTGTTCTGCAAATGTAATGTGGGCTGCCCTGCCCATTTGTGTCATTTCGCTGGTGAAGCTCCTGCTGCTGGTCCTGCTTCCCTCCTCATGCAGTCCTCCTGCATCAGTCCCTACTTCCCTGCACTGCTGTCTCCACTGTGCTGCTGCTGCAGTAATGCAGCTCCCCACACCACCCAGGCGACCTCCACCCCCTCTTTTTTTTTCATGTGTGTCATCCTTGCGCAGGGGCCATGCTAATCTTCTCTGTATCGTTCCATTTTTAACGGATGTCCCAAAGGGCAACCTCCACCCCCTCTTCTTCACCAAAACTGAAAAGAAAAAGGGCCCAGATTCTGCCTCATCCTGAAGGGCGCAGAAATGCCCAACTGCCAATCTGCATCATCCTGAAGATACAGAGGGTCTTTTCTTGAATGGCCCAGGGTGGCCCAAGCACTGGCAAGCAGGGTGTGCAACCAAGTGACTTGCCTGGATGCCCGTCTCCGTCGGATGCCCCTGGAAACCTAGTTAAAAAGGCAAGAGGTTCGGCGGGATAGTCCTTTTGTTTGGAAAGAAGAGAAGAAAGACAGGCTGAAGGACTTACCAATGAAGCGTATATTCTGGATCCCCATCCTCTTTTTATCATGACTTTTTTCAAGGCGAAGTATTCCTCCGTTTGTTTGGAAAGAAGAGACGAAAGACAGGCTGAAGCACTTACCAATGAAGCATATATTCTGGATCCCCATCCTCTTTTTATCATAACTTTTTAATGGCGGGGTAGTCGTCCGTTTGTTTGAAAACAAGAGAAGAAAGACAGGCTGGAGCACTTACCAATGAAATGTATATTCTGAATCCCCATCCTCTTCGGTGCATGTGGTCCATAAGGAAAAACTTGACTTGAAATGGATGCTGCTATTACCGATATGAAGATAAGACACTGAACAACCCGCCAATGACCGACCCAACGCCGTAGGACCGGCATCACGGGACCAACAACAATGAAAGTAGACAGACCGAATGACACTGCGACGATCACATCCGGCAAAAACAGACCTGCAGGGATGCCACCCAAATTTCCAAAATGGGAAATCCCAAAAGCCGATTCAGCGCCATCGCACCACGGGCAGTGAAAACGTCATCCAAATGCATTTTCTTCAACTCTTATATACCCCTCAATCTGTGGCTCTTGCCACCCAAGAATCCCTACATCACTTTTCACAACACATTTGATCCACATGCTGCGCATTGGGAAACAAAATGCAACCCAAATTCAAGCGAAAGACAATGCCAACACCTTCCAAAGCACAAAGTTGATGTGACCTTCTTCCCCCGAATACAACGTACTGTCATTTTCGCTGCATCTGGGCTGAAATGTGACCCAAATACGGACATAATGACCATACGTTCTTATTCGGGGGAAGACGCTAGTTCCAGAGCAATGCAACTTTTTGCTTGTATCGCATGGGGATGTCTGCTGCATCGCATTGGGATTGCACAACTTGACAGCCTGTGTGCCAAAAACATTATCTCTGCTCTCTATGAGATAAAAAAAAGACTCTTCAAATTTAAAAAAACTCTGCCCTGATTTATTTTAATTTCCCCCCCCAAAAAAAAACTCCGCCCTGAACGTCATCTCTGCAAATGTCTTTTTGTTGACTTCAAGAAATCCAGCTGGAAAATTATTTTCAAAAATATGAGCGCAAGAAACACATCAATGGTATATTGGTAAATTGTAATTGACAAGATAAGAATAAATTGTTTCCCCAAAATGGAAAAGGAGCCAGAACCATAAGGTTCTGTTCTTTTTTTCGGATAAAAGAAAAACAAGAAAAGAAGTAGTTGCCTGGGAGCCGTGTCCTTCAGGACATCCGTTAAAATTGGAACGATACAGAGAAGATTAGCATGGCCCCTGCGCAAGGATGACACGAATAAATCGAGAAATGGTCCAAATTTTCATAAAAAAAAGAAAAAAGTTTCCTCAACTTTCCTGGGAGCCGAAAGCTTCCACAGAAATCACAGTGAAGGGAAGAAACTCAAGAGCATCGGAGTAGGTGCAAAAAAAAAAAAAAAAAAAAAAACGTTCAGGGCTTTCAGGGTGGAGCTCACGGGGATCTCACTCCCGAATGACTGCTTCTGTTCCACACACACACAAGCACACGTAGCATGTGCAGTGTGCACATGTACCCCCTCCCATTGATGACAGACCCACAAACGAAAGTGCAGGTAGTCTGTACACATGTACCCTCTCTAGTGCCTACCATCTCCCCACAAAATGAAACAGACTGACATCAGGGCCATGCTGAACATCATTATGACCATGCTGAATAATGCAACCACAACAGCTCAGACAGAAATCATGCACTTGCACCACATCACAGAGAGAATGTCTACGGCGGTTGATAGACATCCTCTATTGGCTGCTTTGGCTACCAAAGCTGGCAGGTTCTGCAAAAGTCCCTTTCTTTTTAATTGAAAATTTCTCCAACCTATTCGTGGGGAGCAGCACGTGATGGGAACCGGTCCCAGTGTCCCTTATAATGGAAATACATTGACAATTGATGATAAATTGATAATTGACGATAATTGGGGATGATTGAGAATCATTTAGGATGATAGCTTCGGCAAGGGTTCGTACATTTTTCTTATTTATGAAAGCACAACTGGTCATGCTCATGGCCAACAAGTCTATGCTAGTTGATAAGGATGCCCATAGAGACAGGCACGAGTCAGAGAGAGTTGGGGAGGAAGGGTGGGCAATGCCACCAAGAAAGGAAGCAAGGGATCAAGAGGACGTATGGACAGAGAAGACAAGCAACTGAACATGCTAATTAGCTGACATCTGGGTGGAAGTCCACGACTAGTAAACAATCTTGACATGTGTAAGGGAGTGGGAAGACCCAGAAGGGGATGCGATGGCAGACATTCGCGGGAGGACATCCCCATGCAGAAAGCTTGTGCACATGGCTGATGACAAAGCTAGCAGACTGTTCGCTATGGCCTTCCACACCAAAATTTTGATGGATTGCTGTTAGGTGAAACCAAGGTTTCCAAAGCCGGCATATATATATCGTCAAACAGAACTGCCCGGTAAACCGTAGGCAGAGAGGGAGAAGAGGACAACAAACGAGGGCCTGTGACAAACTGTTTCGTCGGAGTTTCACCGACCGGCATATATATATCGTCACAAACAGAACTGCCCGGTAAACAGTAGGCAGAGAGAGAGAAGAGGACAACAAACGAGGGGCTGTGACAAACTGTTTCGTATATATATTTGACGATATATATATATATATATATCGTCACAAACAGAACTGCCCGGTAAACCGTAGGCAGAGAGGGAGAAGAGGACAACAAACGAGGGGCTGTGACAAACTGTTTCGTCGGAGTTTCACCGACTCATATATATATATATATATATATATATATATATATATATCGTCAAATAGAACTGCCCGGTAAACCGTAGGCAGAGAGGGAGAAGAGGACAACAAACGAGGGGCTGTGACAAACTGTTTCGTATATATCGTCACAAATATATATATAT